TAGCCCTTTATCTGATATGTCATTTGCAACTATCTTTTCCCATTCCGTTGGTTGCCTATTAATTTTCTGGGTTGTTTCCTTGGCTGTGCAGAAGCTTTTAATCTTGATGAGGTCCCAACAATTTATTTTTGCTCTTGATGACAGGGACCATATCTTGAGTAGTTTTGGACTCTTCTCTTTTTCCCCTCTCACTCCCCGCAAAGGGGGATCGCCCCCGTCCCTGGAGTCTCTGATCCCAGACAGATTTTATCTTCCCCAGTTCGCACTCACATTAGAAGGCTTTCTCAGTGGATTCTGCATCCTTTTCCTCCCAATCTCTTGGGTTCTGTAAGGTTTCCTATGGCTTCAGATCTTTTCCGTGTGAGATATGGGGGCGAGTGCAATGGACAGAGCTCCCTACTTCTCCGCCATCTTGCCCCCCTCCTCTGCAGTGGATTGTTTTGTATGTAGGTCTGGAAAATCCTTCATAGCTTTTCTGACATGAAAAAAGAATCTTTGTTGATGAGCCTGTGTCTTTATACATTATATCCATGGGTGCTATTAACTTCAGTGTTTTCTGTATGTTTCAGACATTAATCTCTTACCATGGGGGACTGGAATTTACTGGGCGGCATCCTAGAGGAAGTTCACTCCCACTCAACCATAGTGGGGAAAATCTGGCTGACCATTCTCTTCATTTTCCGAATGCTGGTACTCGGCGTGGCTGCTGAAGATGTCTGGGATGATGAACAGTCAGCATTTGCCTGCAACACCCAGCAGCCAGGTTGCAACAATATCTGTTATGATGATGCTTTCCCCATCTCTTTGATCAGGTTCTGGGTTTTACAGATCATCTTTGTGTCTTCTCCTTCTCTGGTGTATATGGGCCATGCACTTTATAGACTCAGGGCCTTTGAAAAGGAGAGGCAGAGGAAAAAGTCACACCTTAAAGTCCAGATGGAGAATCCAGAGCTTGAAATGGAGGAACAACAGAGGATAGACAGAGAGCTGAAGAGATTAGAGGAGCAGAAGAGAATCCATAAAGTCCCTCTGAAAGGATGTCTGCTACGTACTTATGTCTTACACATCTTGATGAGATCTGTGCTGGAAATAGGGTTCATGATAGGACAGTATGTTCTCTATGGGTTTCAAATGCATCCTCTTTACAAATGCACTCAACCTCCTTGCCCTAATGCAGTGGATTGCTTTGTATCCAGGCCCACAGAGAAGACAATTTTCATGCTCTTTATGCACAGCATTGCAGCCATCTCTTTGTTCCTTAATGTACTGGAAATATTTCATCTGGGAATCAGGAAAATCATGAGGGCACTTTATGAGAAATCCAGCAGTGAGGACATTGAGGATGAAAGTGGCACACCATTCCATTTAAAAAAATATTCAATGGCCCAGCCTTGTATGATTTGCTCTCCCTTGCCTAAAAGAATCTCTTTACTTCAAGCCAACAATCAACAGCAAGTCTTTCAAGTCAATGTGCTGAAGTCTAAAACCACATGTCAAAGCCTACAGCGCAGGCAGTTCGAAGTAGACCCTTGCTGTATTAAAAAAGAGTGGGCTGAGAAGGATCAGCACAGTGGACAGCTCCATGTCCACAGCCCATGGCCCTGGGATGACAGTACTCAAATTCAGCACCTGGGACAGCAACCAGACCATTCCTTTGGCTTAGAAAATGCAAAGTCCCAGTCCTGGCTGGGTACAGAGATGGCTCCTAGACACTGCCCATCCTATGCAACAGGAACCTGGGAGCAGCCCCAGGATCTACGACCCTCAGGAGGGCCTCTCACAGATTTTCACAGTTACTGTAGAGACAGTGATGGCAGTGTGAGAGAGAGTGGGGTCTGGACAGACAGATCTCACCTGGACAGTCGCAAGGCCAGCTTTCTGTCCAGGTTGCTGTCTGAAAAGGGGCAGTTGCACAGTGACTCAAAAAGCTCCAGTACTTGGAACAGCTCTTGCTTGGATCTTCTGCACCGGGAAAATAGTACCTCACTTCTGCCTTCAGCCACTGGGTATAGAACATCAATGGTAAGTAAGGACTGATCATAGAACTATTACAAGAGATGTTCCACTCTGGCTACTTCTTAGCCTTCCCTTTCCAGTTTCCTGGTATTTATACATGTGTGTTGAGAGAGAGAGGTGAGGGAGGTTAATTTATGGAGGGTTGTATCCAGTCATTCAATACATTCAGGTAATTCAGTTCATGAAATAAACTTACTGAGCACTTACTTTATATCATTCCATCTTGCAAGTGCTGGGTTTATAAATGGATAAAATACTGTCTCTCCCATCAAAGGGCTCAGAGTCTAGATGCGGAAGTTAGACAGATAAACATAAATGTGATCAAGTGTAAGGTACCAAGTTAGAAGAAGTGCAAAGGAGGGAGTGGTTGAGTGGTCAATTCTTTATGAATCAGTCAGGAAAAGCTTCATTGTTGAAGTTACTTTCGAAATGAGGTTTTTATTTTTATTTTTTTATTTTTTGTTTTTTTTTTTTTTTTGGTTGCTGTTGAATTGAGTCTTGGAAGATGTAGTCAGTTTCTCCAGACCTAGGAGGACTGGCCATGAAAGGCGGCCATCCAAATACAGGGAGCAGCATAGACAAAGGCTGAGAGATGTGACACAGCAGGGCTGTCTGGGGAGCTACCTGTGGCTGGAGCAGTGGGTGGTAGGAAGACTATGGAGAGGGGAGGCTGGAGAAGGGTCACGGAGGCTTGTGGGAAGGCAATGGAGAACCCATAGAGGGTGTGCAGCAGAGGAGTGATGGGATTAGCATTACATTTTAGAAAGCTCTTTATCATAGTGTGGGAAAATGGATCAGAAGAGGGAGTGTTTGTAACCTTGAGTTGCCCTGGTCTCACTAAAGGAGGGTGTGCCCCATTGTTTTAATAGCTCTGGCATTTAAAAGTCATATACGAATATTTGATGATATATTTGCAAAAGCTAAATCAATAATGTATTGATTTTAATTCTGTTCTCTGAAAGCCAGTGTGGAATAAGCATTTCCTGGCCATTATTAAGACATAATGGATGTTTACCGTGGACTCTTCTCAGTTCTGGAAAAAAGAAAAAGAAAAAAATGACATTTGCTTTATCCACTGCTCCTAATAGATTTGAACGTTTTTTTTTTAATGTTTATTTATTTTTGAGAGAGAGAGAGAGAGGCAGAGAGAGAGGAAGACAGAATCCAAAGCAGGCTCCAGGCTCTGAGCCATCAGCACAGAGCCTGATATGGGGCCTGAGGTCATGACCTAAGCCAAAGTTGGGCACTTAACCGACTGAACCATCCAGATGCTCCAAAAAAGGTTTTTTTTTTTCATTAAAAAGAAACTCCCCCTAGTTGAGCTCATTTGGTTGAATTTACACACTTGCTTTTTCCTGTTAATAATGATTAAATCTATGATGACTGAATCTGTATCTCAGTTCCATATCTCCCTGTGTTTAGAGATATTTTGTTACTGCACTAAAGCCGTATCTTGAGGAATCATCATCCTACCCAGCCTTTTCCTATAATACTTCTTTCAAATGGATATTTATTTCTTGGCAGTGACCCGCCATATACTCAGGAGACTATGTTTAAGATCAGAGTGTGGCTACTTGGAACCCCATAACAAACTACAGCAGCGTTCTCAACCCTGGCCACGAGTTAGTTATCTGGGAGCCTTAAAAAGTGTCATGCCCAGGACCCATCCTTTTCCATTTAACCCAAAATCTCTGGGGCAGGGGAATGCAGGATCAGTATGTATGTTTGTATGTATGTATGTGTGTGTGTGTATATGTGTGTGTATATATATGTAAGCTCTATACAGTAAAATCTTGGAATGTGAGTAAATTGTTCTGCAATTGTTCCACAAGATGAGCAAACATTTCTAATAAATTTTAACTTTATAAATGAGTGATGTCTTGCAATATGAGTAGTACATGATGCTGAGTATCACATGATCACAACTGAGTCAATGGTTCTTGAAATTTGCTTTGATATACAAGTGCTTTGGATTATAAGCATGTTTCTGGAATGAATTGTGCTTGTAACCAAGGTTTTACTGTATACGTATATATGTGTGTGTATGTGTATGTATATGTGTATATACATACATATATATATGAATACTCCCTGATTCAAAGATCAAGAGTCACGTGTTCTACTGAGCCAGCCAAGTGCCTGTAGGGTTAGTATTTAAATTTTTTAAAATGTCTTTTATTTATTTTTGAAAGAGAGATGGATGGAGATAGCGTGAGCAAGGGAGAGTCAGAGAGAGAGGGAGATACAGAATCCTAAGACAAGCTCCAGGCTCTGAGCTAGCTGTTAGCACAGAGCCTGACCCCGGGCTCGAACCCACGAACCATGAGATCATGACTTGAGCTGAAGCCGGATGCTTAACCAACTGAGCCACCCAGGTGCACCCCTAGGATTAGTATTTTTTAAACTCTCATGGTGATTGCAATGTGCAGCCAGGGTCAAGAATCACTTTTTTTTTTTTTTTTTTGAGTAATTGCCAGTGACTAGTGCTTCTTACTTACACTGTGAAGTCAGCAAGACAGGTTTAATCATTTTCCCTCTCTTGTACCTGCTTCCATGTGAGAAGAGCATTTGTTTTGTCAGAAAATTGAGGGAGAAATGGCAGTGTTTAGTTCAGATAGATTTTCTGTTTAAAAATTTTTTTTAAACACTTATTCATTTTTGAAAGAGAGATAGAGTGTGAGTGGGGAAGCGGCAGAGAGAGGGAGACACAGAATCCAAAGCAGGCTCCAGGCTCCGAGCCATCAGCACAGAGCCTGACGTGGGGCTTGAACCCATGAGGGGTGAGATCATGACCTGAGCTGAAGTCAGACACCAACAAACTGAGCCACCCAGGCGCCCCTAAGATAGATTTTCTTAATCTTCCATATTATCTTTTGGGAGAGGCCAGCCATTTTTGTGAGTTTGGAGAAAAGATGATGAAGATGACAGGCCTCCTTTCTTTTTTTGCCTTCCACTTTCTCCTGTTTTTTGATTTTTTGTTTTTTAAATGTTTCTGAAAATTACAAATGAGGTCTTTGGACACAGAGCTTTCCTACTTATGGTCACTTTCCCCCAAGCTTCTTACAGGGTTGGCAGGAAGACTTGGGGATTGAGACTACAGCTGTCAACTCCAGAGCACTGTGGCTGACACATCATGCTTCTTGCCAACAGAGGGATCTTCAACTTGAAATTAGTGCAGGAAACAGCATTATAATCACCCAATGTCAAAATATGGTCTGTAAACTGCTTTTTACAATTCATGCTTTTGTATGGTATCAATGCACCATAAGATACTTGATGGCCAGTTAGCTGTCTAACTTGTTTCTCCTGCACACAATGTTGCAGTGAATGTTTCATACATATATCTTTAATAGGTATCCAGAAGTGGAATTGTTGGTTTTAATGGGCATACATGTTTTATATATTTAAAAAAATTTTTTTTAATGTTTTATTTATTTCTAGGAGAGAGAGAGAGAGAGACAGCGTGAGCAGGGGAGGGTCAGAGAGAGAGGGAGTCACAGACTCTGAAACAGGCTCCAGGCTCTGAGCTGGCAGTCAGCACAGAGCCCGACATGGGGCTCGAACCCACGAACCGCGAGATCATGACCTAAGCGAAAGTCGGACGCTTAACTGACTAAGCCACCCAGGCGACCCACATGTTTTATATTTTGATAGATGCTGAAAATTTTTGCTCAGGAAGGACCAATTTATTTTCTTACCAGCACATTGGTACATCTTTTCCCACATTCTTGTTCATACCAGCCACTATCTTCTGCATCCCCACCCCCCCATCTGATGAACTAAACGTGTTTCCCTTCATTTTAATTTACATCTGTAATTACCAGTAAGGTTGTTCATGTTTATTAATCATTTGTATTTCTACTATGAATGATCCTTGCCTATCTTTTCTGTTGGGATATTTGTCTTTCTTCTGATTTCTAGGAGCTCTTATACGGTATTATATTTAACTCTTTGTTAAATATAACAAAGATTTTTCTCCCAGTCTGCTGTCTCTTATCCCTGTTTATGGCATCTTTGAATTTTTACTATTAAATATAAAATCTCTATTACTTCTAGATTATTTGTCTCATTTGAGAAGGTCTTGGTGCACACGGGTGGCTTGGTCAGTTAAGCATCTGACTCTTGATTTTGGCTCAGGTCATGATCTTGTGGTTTTGAGCTTGAGCCCTGAGTCAGACTCCACACTGAGCATGGAGCCTGCATGGGATTCTCTCTCTCCCTCTCTCTGCCCCTCTCCTGCTCCTGCTTGCTCTCTTTCTCTCTCTCTCTCTCTCAAAATAAATAAACATTAAAAAAGAGAAAGAAGGTCTTTTTTTGACTCAACATTAACAAAGACTACTGGATGGATGTTTGAGGATGGGTTGTACTAATTTTTTGAGCCCTTTGGCTGAGAAGTTTTATATAACAATTAAAAAAGAATCTAAAGAAGAGGAGAAAGATACTCACTTCATTAAGAGCCTAATGGTGGTCTAGACACTGTCATGGGCTTCCTCTCTGTAACTCTGTAATTATTTCCATTTTATGGATAAAGAAATAGATAACTTGCCCAAAGTCATACAATTAGGATATGATGAATCATTGTCCTTGGGACACAGCAGGGACACAAATTAATATTTACCAGATGAGTGAATGAGCTGGAATTTTATCCCAAGCCTGTGTCACTCAAATCAAGTTCCTTCTTCTATACTTTGTTGCTACTTCTTGCTCTTTCTGCACAAGGAAGCCTAAGTGCAGCATATTTTTAGGGTCAAGGATAGATTACTGCAAAATAGAATATGCCATGTTGGATCACGTTCCATATTATACAAAGTAAAAAATCTGGCTAATTGTAAAAGGGGCAAAGATAAAGCTTTGGAAAAGGTTGGCTTATAGTTTTAGACTTGGATTTTGGATAAAAACAACTGGGGAAGGATAAGAAGATGGCAGGTGGGATCAGAGCTTTCAGGGAATAGAACCTCTTCCATGGGCATTCATCTCTGGGTCAACTTATAGGTTTTGATTGGCTCCCTGGTATCTGTGACATATACAAGGTCCTAGGTGAGTGTGCAGGACTGACGTTTACAAGCCCTTTGAGTCTATGTTTGTTTGTCTTGTTTCCTATCTCTTTCAGAACATGCTTCTAGAACTTTCATCTATTATGAAAAAATAACTCATGCCTGGGGCCAGAAAAATGGACCAAGGAGCAACCAGCACCTGCAGGAGAAAAGTTGCACCTTTGTTAGCTCAAACCGCATGAAGAACTGTGGGAACCATTCCCTCCACAGAGACACCCACCAGGCGATGCGTGTGTACAGGGTGCACCCAACTGGGCCGGCCTCCACAGGAGACCCTTCCCTGATGGGACTGGGATCAACCTCACTGCCCCACCTGGCCTCATGGCCTGAGGCAGGTCTGATCTCTTGAGCAGGGCAGGATTAGGCAGCGAGGAAGTACGCACCATGAGAGAAAATCCAGAGGTAAAAGCTGCTGCCACTCTGAAAGGAGAAGGACTGAGGAGAGGCTGTCTTTCCCCCATCCAGCAGCTTCATGGGGCCTGTTGCCCTGCTTGCTGCAGAGAGCACCCCAGCTCTGTGGTGACATAGCAGCGGCAGTTAGGACCCTTGGATAGATAGGGAGATAGATAGATAGATAGATAGATAGATAGATAGATAGATAGATAGACTCGATAGATAGATCGATCGATCGATCAATCTCCTATTTGTTCTGTCTCTCCGGAGAACCTCAATACATTGGGTAACTGCCTGGGATATTGCAGAAGGGAGCCTAGCATTGGATGGGGCTGGTCTGTGATTCTAGCCCAAATGGCTTCTGAGTCTTGTCTGTCCCCGTACTTTGCAGAAGTGGAAATGAGGCGTGGAGATATGAAGAGGTATGATCTGTTCCACACTGAGTTGGTAGAAGAGCCAGTGAAGACCAGGTGGATGAAAATGATGCTGGGGCCAAGTCCGAGTGGGTGCCATTAAGGGGCATGCCATATTCTAGGTGCTTAAGACACATTATCTATACCTGTTAAATCTACAATTGTGTAAAGTTATTGTTCGTCCGACCATTTCATAAATCAGAGAAGGCTCAAAGAGACTAAGTAACTTGCCCCACAGCTAAAGGTCACACGGCTAAAGTGCGTGCTGTGCAGCTGAATTGAAACCCACATCCAGATCCAGCTGTTCCAAGGCCTGGACTCCTTCCGGGAAGCTGTGAAGTCGTGCTCTCTCTCTCCTGTCAGTAACAATCAGCAGCCCCTGGGCAATGATTTATTTGCATATCTGTCTGCCCAACTAGCCTATGAAAGCTGAAATGATAAGGCCTGTGCACTTTAAATCCTGGATGCCCAGCATGCAGCACGGTGTTGGTTGAATGAGTGTATGTTTATGTAGAGATGCCAAAGACAATATAGTACCCATCGCTTTCAACTCTCCGGTCTATTCCTTATTCACTAGTGTTCTGTCATGTCCTGTCAATAGGTTTATTATGAGGGACTCTTTCAGGAGAGTCTGTAGGGCAGCATTTTTTTCCTTTAAATTTCCTTTACCCTCAGTTGATATAGGGTCATCAACTGTTCAGCACAAATAGAGGTTTAAAAAAGGGGGCGCCTGGGTGGCTCAGTTGGTTAAGTGTCCAACTCTTGATCTCAGCTCAGGTCTTAATCTCAGGTTGATGAGTTCAAGCCCCAAGTTCACCCCTCCACGCTGGGCGTGAAGCCCACTTAGGAAAAAAAAGAAGTTAAAGAACCAGTGTAAAATGTAATGCTACCAGTAAATGCTGGCATGTCTCTGACAGTTTCCATCTATGGCTTTAGGATGAGGATCACTGCCTCAGGATGCACCTGTCTTCATGGGGGAAGAAAAAATCTAGCCATGAGGAACCAGCAATAGCTCTTTTTGGCTGACCGAGCAGGCCAGTGGCAGGTATACGCTGTAATCTTTAGGACCCAGAGTTGGTGAAGACAGAAGGGATCATGTTCTTGAACCAAATGAAAATGACAGTTGCATCACGGGATATGGGATGAGTGGCTTTTTCATCTCTCTGGGCCTTGCTTCTTTGACACCAAGAAGGATCACATTCATTTATACCAGGAAAGCAAAGCTGCTCAATGGGGAGAATTGGAAACTCATCCCACTCAGGGCACTCTCACAAGCTGACATCAGACATCAAGTACAGTCTTGCTAGTGTATCCTAATTGAGGGGGTGGGAGTGATGGACTGGAGAAGTAGAACTGTTTGAAAGAACAGCCTAGTTATTTACAAATAGAACAAAACTGTTGGCAGGGACTGGCATAGGGGTAGCCATCTGAGAATCCTCATTATGCCCCGGAAGTAGATAGGAATCCCTCTGAAGGTGCACATTCAAAGGAAAGAAAATAATGGCCGCTGCCCATTTGGGGCAAGATGGTGTTTAAATGCTTCCCTTCTGCAACACACAATAGCTTTTTTATTCTATTTCCAACTATGATGGTCATTCCTGTCACAAGTGCAAACATCAGGGTCAAAGGCGCCAATGGCCATCAGTTCTAAATGACCGGGTTTTCTTTTTTTAAAGTTTATTTATTTTTAGAGGTGGGGGTGGGGCAGAGAGCGAGGAAGAGAGAATCCCTGCAGGCTCCATGCTGTTGTAGTGAATCTCGACACGGGTTTGATCTCCTGAACCATGAGATCATGACCTGAACTGAAATTAGAGTTGGAGGCTTAACCAGATTGAGCCACCCAGTCGCCCCTTAATGACCAGGTTTTTTTAGCAAAATTTTGAGACTAAGACCCACTTGCTTTTTCTAGAATGGACTGAATAACTTCACGTCTTCATGCAAATGACCGTATTTTAGTTTTTCACACCTAAAATGTTACAGCTGTGTTGTTTTCAGAACAGCATACATTTGCTAACCCAATTATATGCTCCCTGGAAGTCCTCCTTGACTCAGTAGGGTGCCCAGGGAGTAGAATTCCGTAACCTTTAATTCCGGTTTTCCCATCTGGTGGATGGGGTGAGGCTATGCACTTCCTAACGCTCGGATCTCAGCAACACTGCGCTCTTCAGACATCATGAGAATGTGTTATTTATGGCCTCACTGACAGTTTAGCCAGAACCTGGGAGGCCAGCGTTACTCACGGTCATCTGGCCTGCCCCTCATTCAAAACCTTGCTTTCCCTTTATATCAAAATCCAAGATTCGAAGTGATCAAATATATTTTTCAAATATATTTTTCTAGTTGTAATGTATTTACTCCCTTAACCACAATTCTAAACTCCCTGCCTTGTTAATCATTGTATCTTGGTGTTGCTTTAATGCCCCTTTCTCTCTGCTGACTTTCATTTAGCTTTTTCTTTTAAATTAAGCCTATTATTATATATATTTTTTACATTTATTTATTTTTGAGAGAGAGAGAGAGAGACAGAGCATGAGTGGGGGAGGGGCAGAGAGAGAAGGAGACACAGAATCCGAAGCAGGTTCCAGGCTCTGAGCAAGCGGTCAGCACAGAGCCTAATGTGGGGCTTGAACCCATGAACCATGAGATCATGATCTGAGCTGAAGTCGGACTCTCAACTGACTGAGCCACCCAGGTGCCTCACCTATTATTTTGGGATAATTGTAGATTCACATGCACTTGTATGAAACAATACCCTTCCCCCAGCTTTCCCCAGTGGTGACATTTTGCATAGCTTCCCACAACATCAAAACCAGGAAATTGCGTTTAATCCAATATCTACTCTCACAGGCACTGGGGATTTTTCAAAATTCAGAGTTGAGGAGTCATATTAGCAGTATCACAGTTTTTAGATTTCTTTTTTTTAAACTTTTTTTTTTTTTAATCTTTGAGAGAGAGACAGAGTTTGAGTGTTGCAGGGGCAGAGAGTGACAGACACACAGAATCCGAATCAGGATCTAGGATCTGAGCTGTCAGCACAGAGCCTAACATGGGGCTCAAACTCACAAACCATGAGATCATGACCTGAGCAGAAGTCAGACGCTTAATCAACTGAGCCACCCAGGTGCCCCACATTTTTTAGATTTCTAATCAGATAAATCAGGTAGCAGGTACGGGTCCAAACTAGAGGAAGTCATGTGGCTTCTCGGGGAGAAAAGATTTCCTAAGGCCTTCAGCCCTGTGATCTGTAACAGGGCTCAGAGGCAGAGAAAGCCAGCCCACAATGCATAATGATATGTCTTTATTTCATCAACAGAAATGGTGTCGAGACAAAATTCAGTTAACACTAGCAATTCAACTGAGTGAAAATTTTTTTTTTGCACTATAGTGTATTTACAATGAGTAAATGAAGTTTCAATTCATTAGTTCATAGCAATGCTTTTTTTTCCCCAAAAAAGGTAAAAATTCTTAGTTACAGAGAATAAGCATCAACAGCCATTTCATTTTTACAATAAAAACCACAACAAAAACCACAATCACTTAGGAAAAAAAAAGACAAGCCTAAGAACTAGTACAATAAAATGATGCATTGAATTAAGTTACATTAATCGCATAGAATCTGTGTAAAAAGTATGTAGAAAAACACCTGATGTAACCTGTTACAGTCATTGAGCAGTTATGAGAGGTACAGAGGGTTATACAGGTAGATATGTGTGAAACTGTCCGTATTGTTCGACCTGGGGAGGAAGAGAAGAGGGGCTGTGGCCCCTTGCATACACTGAGAAGACCCTGTTTTGAATATGGCCTCTGGAGTTTGTAAGGCATATATTAGAGGTGCACTTGTATCAGACTGGTTCTGGAACAAACTCTCCCAGGCCCTTTTGGCCTCACAAGCAAAGGTGGTGCTTGCCTTGAACAGCGGTGTCTAACCAGCGCCCAAGGTTCCCAAGTGCATCTGGATGGTTCCTGTTCACTCACTAGAAGTGGTGTGTCTCTTGTGTCAGAGTGTGAATGATGGCATCCAGCATTCACATGTGCCAAATGCATCCTTAGGACCCAAGTGGAGGTCACCCCTCTGCCTGCAGTTTTGGTAGGAGACTTAGCATCATTGGTAGGAAAAACCCTCTTTGTCCAAGTCCCTTCCCTCTTTCCTCATCTACGTGTCCGATCAGCCTCCCAGGAACACTTGGCACTGAATGGTGGTCTTGGTGCGCTTCTGCTTCTAAGGAGGGCCACTGTTTTATCTGAGGTCAGTAAACTGGAATGAAGTGAAAGTCAGAGTTGTTTAGCCATTGCTTGATAGCGAGATGCACGCACCACGTCATAACGTCACATCAAAGCTACAAAGTGGGCCTCTGCAACCAAG